GCTGTAAGCCGCAGCGGAGCGGAGCTCCCGGCCTCAGGAATCCGGGAGAGAGACCGGCTCACCTGATCCGTTCCTGTTCTCAGGGTGGGCGTGCGACAGGTACTCTCCGAACGCACGGGCTGCTCTGGGGAGAGATGACAGAGACGCTCAGACTGGCAGCGGGGGGCTCCAAGGAACAAAAACGGGACATGGGGGAAGAGAACAGGACACCTTTCGCCCCCCCCATTCTGGGAGGGCGGTGGCTTAACCGCGCTGAAAATGAGCACCCCCACAGCCCAGGATCACAATGACTGCCAGCCTTAGAGAGTTAGGTACAGAGCGCCCTCCCTAATCCTTTCTCTCTTGTGGCATGTCACGATAACCCTGGGGGAGGTGAAGGCACGATCGTGTTTCGTGTAACCCCCAGACTGCCCGGACAATTTGGCGGGCCGCCTACAAAACACAATGTTCAAGACATAGAGCGGGCATTCGTTTCGCATCTTCATTGACAGCTTTTAAGATCTCGCTGCGCCAAGATTTCACTCGGCGCAATGTCCTTTTAGAGCATGCAGGCTGAACCCGGGACTCGGGGGCTCCACTATGCTTCAGGGTCTCTGCAGGGGATGAAATACCTCGGCGGGGTTATAGAACCTCATTGTACAGATGTGGTCATTCAGGTATGATACAGGTAAAGCTCATGCAGTCTTACTCTGGACTCTCAATGCCAGCCCACTGCCCCTGCCCTCGAACACCCCCGACACGGCTCACAGCAGGGGGGCGATCTCGCCATGACGGCTTAATCACTCTCCTGCTTAATTACCCACGCTGCTCTGTCACGACAAACGTCAGGCGGCACCGCACTCTCTGTGTGTGTGCGTGTCGGACGAAGGTTTCTCACTCCTCTGTCCCTCCTGCAGCCCTGTCGGCACACTCATGCTTTCACTCACAAGACGCGCTCACTCCCGGGGGGATCGTAGCCCGACGCTCACAGCACGCGCATTAAACAAAACATTTTTCTGCAATGCACAGTCATCTTCTGAGTGAGTAAGCGTGACACTCTGCACTCTCCGACTTATGTAAGCGGCTCTCTGCTGGGCTCTCCAGTCTGGATGCGCGTTTTACATTAATGATGCACTTCAGCTGGAGGGCATCCAGCTATGCCAGCTGATTGCAGAGGCTGCCTGGATTCAGTGGGTATGAATTCGGTATGAATGCCCTCTCTGGGGACTGTCAGTGTGAATAAACCAATCACTACATCAAATGCTAAGGGCATCTTTTGTCACCATGATATATGGAGCTTACGTGATGGATATACAGACAGACAGAAATATGAGACTTCTGTCCGTGGCTGTCAGCTCGCCTTCATCTAACATAAACAAGAAATCGAGGTTTCTTCAGGTGGTTTTCTTTACAACAGCATGAAAAGGTCAGCTAATTAATTCAGATATCCCACAATGCATAGCAGGCACTGTGAATGGCGCGTTTCTTCTGACCGAACGAACGACCGACCGTTCGCTCGCCATGGGGGGGAGCTTAATTGATTCCCCAGGCGATCTCGCATTGTGTCGGCCATTAATCCTGACCTGTGGAATGCAGCGACTCTGCTTCCAAAGTTACAGCCCCCTGCCTGCAATGGATCAGCACATCCTAACCCACCAGTCCCTGCGGCAGAGGCAGGAGAGGGGAGGGACAGGCAGAGTGGTGTGCTAGAGAGAGGAAGGAAGGGTCTATTTTCTTTCATTTACTCTCGTTTGTCTGCGTTGGTAGTTGCTTGGCAGCCTTTGCCGTTGCGTAATGAGCAAGTCACAGCAACTGCAATTGTCCTTTTATCGATTAATCTTGAAACGTGAACGATCAGACCAGAGTCTGTGAGCCGGCGTTGCCTGGGAAGCCATCGGCTACTGCCCTGCGCCGTCCGGCCAGGATGAGCTCTCCGCAGCTCTCTCTCTCTCCGCGTCCCGACCCGGCTGGGGCTCCAATTCCTGGGCCACTTCCCAGATCACCCCCCCTCCGTCAGGTCCGGTCAAGGCCTGTGACCCCCCCAGGGGTGGACACGGAGGCTGCAGGTCTTCACAGTGGCCCTGCCCACCCCTCTGCGGCTCTTCTCCCGTCCTCCTCCGGGTGACCGGGAGGAGAGAGAGCCTGGAGTCGGACAGCCGGGGCGACAAGACCGGCCCCCCGGAGCTGCTGGGGGACCATCTCGCGGGGCCTCTTGGGAGAGAAAACGGATCGGGATCCTTCCGTTCTTCCACTTGACCCGAAACGTCCAAACGTCTTCCCAGCAAGCACTCCATTCCAAGATGTTAAGTTCGAGCTGGCACCCTGCAGGCAGCAGAAGCTACCATTGACAACGCTGGGTGGAGAGAGAAAGACGATTTCTCAGAACGCCACACAACCTGGAGCCTTTTCTTTTCTTTCACTGAAAGAGGTCTCGGCAGCAGACCATCTCGCGGGGCCTCTTGGGAGAGAACACGGATCGGGATCCTTCTGTTCTGCCACTTGATATGAAAAAGCCTCCAGAGCCAACAGTATTGAGGACTGAACTCCAGTCCACTCTCTCCCGTATGCTGCTCGTGTGTCTCAGCGCCGGTTCTGAAAGGCAGGAGTGATGACTGCGAAGCAGCGCTTGAACATCACGACCCTCGGAAGGTCTCAGCTGCTGGCTGTTCTGCTCCATCAGGCCCACAAGCAGCGCTTGCACGTGTCTGAGCCCAGAGCTCCGGAGTGGGTGGAGATCTAGCCTGGAGCAGGGTGCTGAACGCTGTGGGCTTGTTTTCTCCAATGAGATGTCCAGACAAATATTCACTCCGACGGAATGCACACGCACCGCGAGGGCAAACGCAAGGACGATATGAAAAACCGCCATTCATAATTACAATAAAGCTGTCCTGAACAAAGACAATGAACGCTTTTCACAAAACTGGGATATAGTGAAGACTCAACGGCTTCAAAGGAAGGAATAATAAGCACTGAACACAGCTGTAAACACAGTATATAGGGTGCCAACTTATACAGGGTATAAATATGCTGCTGCTTGGGCCTCTCTGAGCTGAATACAAACATAGCTGCTGCAGCTCTGCACACTATTTGTGGAGAACAACACAGACCTCAATAATATAGCCTGCAGTGTAGAAGGGGGGTGTGTCTCTGCAGCGTCGGCCCCTGCAGCGCCCTGGCCACACCCCCACCATCTGTCGGATTACTGGGCCCCGCCCCACACCAGCCACTAATTCACAGCCAGTTAACCTCCTGCCTGTCATCGCCTCCAGCCCCAGCTCGGGCTCTGCCTCTGGGCGTTAATGTCAGTACTGGGGGCTGACCTCTGCAGTGTTCCCTCTCGGGCTCCACTAACGTTTGGGACGGTGAGTCACAGACGACGAGCCAGGAGCACACCCAAGATACTCCGCCCAGCACAGGCACCGTCATAAAACCATCCGTCCGCAAGACGGGTGAAGCAGGACCTGCTAGCCCTAGCCCAAACCCACCTCATACAAGTAAATCCATTAAAAAATTAAGCTACCAGCCACATAATGATTCGGAGCTTCGCACTGGTTAACTAATTAACCAATCAACCAATCCATCACCAAGTTATCAAGGTTCTCCCCTCCTGATGGCCTACACCAGACACGCACTTTTGTCTCACTTTTTCCGATCCCCGGTTTTCTCCCTCTCCCACGGTCCCCTGCCCTGTGCCTCTGCTGCCCTGGGGCGGGTTCCTGCAGTTCGCTTCCCCTCCTGCTGCTCAGGAAACGGGAAGAGCGATGCCGACATCTCGGAGCTGGAGTGCTGGGTGCTCATCGGAGCGCTCAGCAGGGGAAGGGGGCAGGGGGACACGCGACTGATGCCCGGAGGCGTGGGTGTGCGCGTGCAGCTTGGATTCGGCAGTCTCCAGGCAGGGGCCGGCCGGGATCCCTGGGGAAAGCTGTTCCGGGACTCGGAACAGGGCGGCTCTGACGCAGGGAATTGATTTGGAAAGGAGAGCAGATTTATTCTGAGGTTTCTTGGTTTTTGAGTCCAGTCGTTTGCCGGACACGTCTGTCCTCGGTACCGGGCCGCTGTGGCGGCTCAAGGTCACGATCCGAGC